AAATCTTAGTAGCTTCCCAATGAACTTAAATAAAATCTCATTAAAATTCACAAAATTAACAAATTACAAATTAGATACAAAATTAGAATTTAAAATTTCAACTTTGCCACCGAAGGTAATCTTGTAAGATTAAGTGAAATATTTGTGCATAAGATAATGATAAATTTTTCACGCGCATACATTTAAAATTCAAAAAAAAAAAAATTCAGAATTTAATAGTCCGAGAATGTTTCGCCATTAAGAAAATTAAATTACTTAAAAAATTTATGGACTTATTTTAAAGTTCGGAAAAATATTACATCAAGACTCCTGACGTAGAGCTACGTTCGAAATCCACTGATATACAGACACGTGGCTTCAAGAAAACGCGTGTGTTTTCCTGTAATTCGGCCATGTAACTTAGAAGAATATTCCTCTTGTGTTATTATATGTTATTCATGTGTTATTATGGTGATATTGATGTGTTATTGTGTTATTATAACACCGGGAATATTCTCATAACATAATAACACATGAATACCACTAAAATAACACCTGAATAATGTGGAATAACACGAAAGGAATATTCCTCTGCGCTAAAATGATTTTTCTTTTTATTTTTCTGTCACCTCCACGTGTCAACATATTAGTGGACTCCAAACATAACTCTACGTTATAAGTCTTTATGTAATATTTTTCCTTAAAGTCCGGCCTCATTTGAGAATATTTAATTTTAATAAGCTCTTATTCTTGTGATTTTTCAATGGGCCTGTTTTGAATATGCTTCCGCTTTCTTCTATTCAAGTAATATTCTATTTTTTGGCTTGCTAAAACATCATAAATTATTAAATTATAAGACTAAATTTAATTTTTAATGATTAGTGAAAAAGTAATTTTGTAATATTGGATGACAATCAAGATGAGTGAGCGGAAATGGTTAGAACGGATAGTTGCTGCTAAATGACATCATTAAATTACTATTATAGTTTTATCAAATATGCTTCCAACTTCTCTCCTCTTTGAAATATTGATTATAGGATATATTTGATGTGATACAAAACCCTCTGTTCGCTAATGTTGATGTAAATTGGTTCGCATAGACAAACTTCACATCAGGCCTATAAGGTCCCTTTCAACGAAGCAACCCAAGGCTAAAGATAAGAAAGAATCCTTTGGCTAGGTTGGGTCTTAATCTAAGCCTTTGGATAAAAAATTAAAATTATATTATACATTTATAAAAAAATACATTCAACATTTTATCAATATCAAACAAATCTCAATCTTCATTTCTTCAAATTCCCTTTTAAGAAAAATGAATTTATATTTCTTAACTACAAACCATTATCTCACATTCTCTTCTCAAATTATCTCCATCTCTCTCTCTCTCTCTCTCTCTCTCTCTCTCTCTCTCTCTCTGTGGGAATGTGTTTTGTATGTAGGTATGAAAGTTTTGGCGTTAGATATGTGAACTTAAAAATACATAAGAATTGTGTTAAATATGAAAGTTTAGGTGTTAGAAGAAATCATAATATCTCATTAAGAAAAAAAAATAGTCATGCCTCAAGTGGTTGATTTGGCTCAATAACAGAAGAATCGACTATCGAGTAATATACATGTAAATCTTACATGTTAACTCTGAGGGAAAATAGAGCTAAGGGGAAAAAAGCTTTAGAAAAACCAAAGCGCGATAATAATGAAATAGAAAAAAAATGAGAAACAACAATGACAAGAAAATGAAAATGAGCTCAGAACTTTCCTGACGAAAATGCACTAAAATATCTTTCAAACACTATAAATATTTTCCATCAAACATTTATAAGTTTGGTTAAATTTTAAAGAAAAGACTAGAAAATATCATTGTTCAATAAAACAACATCTTACAAATAGAGAAAGATCAATAGATACTTAAACAAATCAGGAAATATGACAAAACGGGAAAAATCCAATAACTATGGAAAAAAAAAAACAATAAAAATTAAACAGAAAGCTAGTATAATCTCCAATTTGGCTATAGCCAAATTAATGAATTAAGAGGAAAAAACAAACAACACCAATAAAGAACAAAAAAAAAGAACCAAATGTCCAAAACCACAACAAAAAACAACAATGAAGCCTTATGAGAATTCTTAAGCCAACAACTTATAGCCAACATCCAAAAGGGAGCATTGCTTACTATAGAAATTTATGAAGTCTATAAATCTATTATATAAAAGGAGACTTAGCAGTAGAATGAGGTAGAAAGTGTTATCAAGGCAAACAAATATGCTTTTAAACCAAAAAAAAAACAATTAACTTCTGATTCTCTGATACTTCTTATAATGACTATGAGCTAATTTTTTTATAATTTTTTTATGAAGATGGATATAAGCAAGGAAAAGATTACATCATAGTCTCTTTAATAATCAACTTTAGCATAGATGATCAACTTAGATATCATCACAGTCTCTTTAATAATCATAATCTTCTATATAATTGCACAAGATTATATCATACCAGTTGTAGAATAGCTGCAAAGCAGCATTCCATAAATAAATATGTTAAAAGTATAGCAAAATGCAAAATGATATTAGAACAATAGCTTCTAAAATGGTGGTTTTGAATGCACAATATAAAGATTTTCCACATATTTCCTACATCAATCAACATGGATAAATGTCGTAAAGTGGCAACTCCCGATTATTTTTAGGAAATTTTACTTTAAAATTTTCAAATTCACATTTTCCAAGGTTTTAAAAAGCCAGACTAACATACTAAAAAGAAGGGAATTTGCATTGAAAGCCCAGACAGCTCCTCACTAGGGCTGTCAATACGGCTCGTTCTTCGCGAACAGCTCGTGTTCGGCTCGTTAAGAAGCCCATATTAGGTTCGCGAACAGCTCGTGTTCGGCTCGTTAAGAAGCCTATATTATTAGGCTCGTTCGCTAAGTTAATGAGCCAAACACGAACAAAATTTTTTTGTTCGACTCGTTTTGACTCGAAATACTACTAATCAATTTTATATATATATATATATATAAATCTTTGATGAGTTGTATTTTTAAAAAAATTAATTGACTACGAGACTACAAAGATTTATAATCAATTAAAAGTATTAATTAAGAAAATAAAATAAACATTATTAAATTAGATTCAAATGATGTTTTAATATAAACAAAAATTTTTAAATCTTGCCCAAATCTTTAATATTTTATGGCTACACAATTAGGGTTGTCCAAACAACTCTTTGTTCGTGAACGGCTGACAACTCGTGTTCGGCTCGTTAAGCAAACGAGTCGAACACGAACATACTTTTTGAACTCGAAATATAAATGAGCCGAACACGAGCTGAGTCTGGGCCCGCTTGTGCTCGGCTCGTTTACACCCCTACACCTCACTGCATATGACAAAAACAGAAACCACACGAGCTTATCATTCATAGAAAAACAAATAAAAGGAATAGACTCAAAAAGAATATTTAGAACAGCATAGCAAACTTCAGAACAAAAATCAGAAACAATCACAATCCAATCCAACAATTATGAATCGGCTCAAAAAGACAAAAAGAAAAGAGATTACAACCCCACTTACTAAAATCATGATTAACCCAAAATGATTGAATTATCATGAATCTTTGTTTAGCATTATTGCTCATATCAAAAGTAGTAATGATAAAATCCTTTAGCTAAAAACACTAACAATAAGTTTGCATGCACGTTTAAGGAAAGCAAAAAAAGAAACCTAATCTCTAAAATATAACATCGTTAGAACTTAGAAGCCATCAAGAACTTAAGAGAAAACATCATTGAAAATAGCCTAATCTCTAAACGACTAACCATCAAGAGGGAGTCAAACTAGAGAAAGCGAGTAACCCTAGAAAGCTGCAATACTTTCTTTCCCTCGAGACGGCAAGGAAACGATAGTGGATTTCTCAGGATGGAACGGACATAAATGAGAACTTGACGTCTTGCGGTCTCACATATTCACACTTTCGTCCTCGCCCGGCCTATCAACTTCGGGATAGAACCATAGAAATGAAAAAAGAAACAAAAAGGGTGAACAAAATTGTGAACCAATAATTTTAGGGTTAGTTTATTTTAAGCTTATATGGTAACAAGTAGTTTAATAGGAATATAATTTAGTATTTTAGATTGATCGAATGATTGAGATCAATTTCAGATAATTTATAATTAAAAATTCTTTTTTGTAATACTTTAATAAATTTTATATTTAAAATTTTCCTATTAAATATATCATAAAAGTTTAATATAAAAAATTTTATAATTATATTAATTTGTAATCATTTATTTATTTCAAACCAAAGCGAACCGAACACAATTGAACAACTTCCTATTCGTGTTCGGGCCGTTTATAATTCGAACTAAAAAACTTGTTCGGGTTTGGTTCGCTTGTTTGACGAACGAATTGAACACGAACTACTTACTGAGCCAAACATGAGCTGTTCGCGAATGATAAGTGCAAATATAAGAAAATTGCATTATGTATATCTTATCTATAACACAAAAATGTTATAAAGTGCAACTATGACAATTTGGCTGAAAGATATGTAAATACATAAGATTTGTGTGGCATGCATGTAAATTTTTCATGAATAAATTGACAGCATTTCAGTAGATCTTTCAGGTTAGTTTAACCTTAATGCATTGGCAAAAACAGCACTCTTCTGCATAAGACTAATAAAGATGACAATCAAGCAATAAACACATAAAATAATGTAAAAGTAAAGCAACTTAAAAAAACAACAAAAAAGAGGAAATTTTACATATATACCACTCGATTCTCATGTATTTACATACCAAACACATATATTTCAACCTTTACATAAATGCCACCTTACCAATTGGAGTTGCATAAATGTAAAAAAATAAAGTTTAGACGTTATATAGGTAAATACATAAGAATTGAGAGGAATTTATGTAAACGTCCAAAAGTAAAAAATAGAAGAAGAAAAACATACAAAAAAATGTATATTAGAACAATAATCATACAACGGTAAGTTAAATGTATGATTTAACAAACCAGATAACAAGAATTTACAGGTTCAAACAAAGCAGTAGAAGTTTTGTGGGCATTTTTATAATAAATGCAAAGCCTGGACAATTCATAATTACACATATCATCATCAAAGTTAGAATTTTAGAAACGGAAAGAAGAATCTGCGCCATACTTGTGGTTCATGTTATAGTGATCAAAACTCTGTTCGCCATTGTACTCCTTCTGCTTGCTTTCAACACCTTTTGTCTCTGCTCCGAAACCCACTTCTCCATCTTTTTCACGGTGGCGGTGCCGAGTTCGATCTTTGTGGATCTTGGAACTGATCTGAGATGTGTCGGCGGTGTAGAAATCGGTGTAATCTGGCCGCTTTGTCGACCGGTGCTTGCTTGGGAGCGAAGAATCCTTGTGCTTGGATTGCTTGCTGCTCTTCTGGTGCCTGATGGAAGAATCAGGATTGATATTTGAGGAGGTTAGTGTCTCCGCCTTGGTTGAAGGGTTTGATTGCTTCGGAGGGAGGGGTGGATCTGGTTTGTCGTCGGGTATGATTAGATTGTCTTCGAGTGGAGTCGGAGTTTTTCGTCGGGGTAGGAGACTTTGGGGGAAGAAGATGAGGTTTAGAAGGGAATTACTAATGGCTTCTATGGCAAATTTAGAAAGATCAGAGATCAGTCTTCCTGGAGATGGCCAACCTGCGTCTGTTTCTTCCTTTAGGGATTCCACAACCAAAGAAGGTTTGTTCAGTGATGAGTGATTTTGTTGGTTTGACATTGTTGATTGTTTCTGGAGATATCAGAAGATTAAAAAATTTTAAAAAAAAAGGAGATTTACAAAAATAACCCTCAATTCTCATGCATTTATATAATCTAAACGCTAAACTTTAATTTTCAAACATGTCATTTTATTCATGTATGAAAATGTGTATTTCACTTTTTAAAAGTTAAATGATGGTATGTTTGATGTGATAAGAGTGATTTGGACGGTGTAAATGTAAAATGTAAAGTTTAGGTGTTATATATATAAATACATAAGAATTTGGTGTATTTCACTTTTTAGAAGTTAAAATAATGGTATTTTTGATGTAATATGAATGATTTTGGCGGTATAAATGTAAAATGTAAAGTTTAGGTGTTCGCTATATATATACACATTAATTGGGTGTATATCACTTTTTAAAAGTTAAAATGATAGTATTTTTGATGTGATATGAATGATTTGGGTGGTATAAATATAAATTACATAAGCATTGGGTGGTATAAATGTAATATTACATGAGCAATGGGTGACATGCATGTAAATGCACCCAAAAAATAATAATAAATCAGTAAATCAACATCATTAACATCAAAAGTTTTCTCCAAATCATCTATGATCAGCATATTGAATCGTCATTTATTTGTCTCTCATTATTAGTGTTTCGTAAGGTGTTAAACTTATCCTTCACAAATCTTTTCAAGCAGTTTTTATCCTTCCTTCATAACATTTCGACCCAAATTTTATCTAATTATCTAAGGACGTAATTTCCCGAAGATATTTAAATCATCCAAATTTATTTTTTGTTATCTTATCTTTTAATAAATGTCATTCCCCCCCCTAGAAAAATTTACATACATACCAAACAATTCTTTATATGTATTTACATATCTAACACCCTAACTTTTATATTTATACTTATATCACAGATGATAATTTATGCATCAAAATGTGTATTTCACTTTTAAAAAGTAGGTGCTGGTGGTATTTTGGATGTGAGATTAAAGATTTGAGTACTATGCATGTAAATATGAAAATTTGGGTTTTAAGTATGCAAAGAATTGTGTGGTATGTATGCAAATGCCCCCATATTTAATGAATTTTACTCCCATTATATTAAAATGATATTCCTTCAGTTTCAGCACCCTGTAATTATGACAAGAGTAACCTATGAGACTTACAACCTTATAGAAAAGGGAACTTCCGAATCCATGTTGAAGGAAACATGAAATGTAGCCTGCCAATATTGCACCAGCCACCATGATAATGTCTGCTTAGGAAGACAAAATTTAAGCAATTGCTAAATAGAAAAACATGTATTCAGCATTACAAATGCGGAATAAATTAAAAAAGGGTCATTTACCTACATACCCACACAATTCTTAGGTGCTTACATATCTAACACCAAAATTTTCATATTTATATTTATGACACTCAACTTCAACATCACATAAAAAATACCACCTTATTACCTTTTTAAACAAGAAATACACATTTTCATGCATATTGCACCAAATTGTTATAAGCGTAAATATCAAACTTTATGTGTTAGCTATGTGAATTCATAAGAAGTGTGTAGTATGTATGTAGAAATAACATCAAAAAAAAAATCAAAATAAGAATAGTTGGACTATGTTTACTTCGTGGTTTTACAATGTTGAGATGAATAAAAACAGTATATTTCATGTTAAAATAATATTTATTTCATATGTAAATTCATATGTTCATGAAAACAGTGCAAAATGGTGCTTTTGGAGGCATATTTATCATCAAAATAAACACAACATTTAGAAAGTTAACTGAGGAGAAAAAATGAAACCTTCTACGCAACATCCAAGGTTATTTTCAGCTAGATGCCACACAAGAAGCTGAGCCATTCAAAACCTAAAAGCTTGACATACACTATTATTGCTTTTTAATAGGATGATTTACATACATACCAATCAATTCCTATGTATTTACAAATCTATCACCTAAGCATTGATTTTTACATACATGCCACCTTACGTATGCATTAAAGTGTGTATTTTGTTCCTTAAAAGTTAAAATGATTGTATTTTTTATGTGATGTGAAAGATTTGAGAGGGATAAATGTAAAAAGTAAAGCTTGGGAAGTAAACATGTAAATACATAAAGAATTAGGTGGTATGTATATAAATACCCTTTTTAAAAACTGATTGAAAATATTCAACAACAGAAATTTATATCCTGTTCAAATTATATGTGATACAATTCTAACAATTCACCGAGTTTGGAATGACGTAATTAAGAATCTCAAGATTTATGCTTCCAAACTTAACGGTAACAAAACAAAGATTCTTATAAATTAGTGCCAATTATATCACCTTCAGATCAATGGTGATCCCTCAATCTAACATCAATGCCTCAACTCGAATCAACAGTCCAATTCAAATCATCGACAACACCAATCTCAAAGACATCTGAATGCTATCATCTGCTCAAAAATAATTATAAATACCCCTAAAAGAAAATGTAATGATTCATTCCGAAACTAAACAGCCCAATCCTATGGGAAAAATGATTTATTATAAAGAGATTCATTCCAAATTGTTTGAAGTCCAAGAAGAATGGTTATTGAAAACGTTCTTCTGAAAATTACTCTGTTAGCAGAATACTATATATAAGTTTCAAGCCAAATTAAATCTATTTATATCTCATTTGAATACCCGCTCCCAAGGACTAACAGAAAATGTGTATAAAAGAGACCTACAAGAAAATAAAAGTGAAAGTAAAATATCTCGAGCAATCATTATTCAAAAAGACACTTTACAACCTCCATTGTTTTTTCCAAATTAAAACCTTTTTTAGGTATCAAACTCAATTAGTGTAGGCACCACAAATCTTTTCTTCCTTGAAATTAGAACTTCTTTAGAAGTTTTTGAATCCAATTAAGGCCTCCTTATGACAAGAATTGATGGTGCAGACCATCCGATTACCTTCCAATCACTGCTTTCTTTAATAACCAGCTTTAAAAATAAATAAACAAATAAATCATAATAATAATAACAATTTACCCATGACAGCATCATTTAGAGAAGTGTCACTTATGTGAAATCAAACGATGATTTATACTCTTGTTTTGACTTAAATCGAACGAGAGAGAGGAAAAGAGCGAGACTTGGAGAAAAGGAGGAGGAGAAGAAGAAGAAAAAGAAGCAATGGCAAGCAGAAGAGGAAGATTTGTCTGCGAGGAACGAAGCCGAGAGAGGAGATGTTGACCAAGCGAAAGCGAAAATGCAACTTTTATCGAGTGAAAACAACGTGAAAGCGTAGAAATTCACACAATAACAATCAAACACAAAGATTTATGTGGTTCCGCGTTAAATCAATTGGTCTACGTTCACGGGGAGGGAGATTCCACCAGCACTGGATGGGGAGAAACAAAAACAACTTAGAGTTACAATTCAAAACTTCTCATCATACTCCTCTCATAAGCCCTAAGTCTTTTTTGTATAGAGAAGACTTGGAGCATATAAAGAAAGAAATAAAAAAAAGAAACAAATCAAATAAAATAAACTCATTAAATAAAAGCTACAAATACAACAATCCCCACATCACTTCTTACTCTAGATCATTGAGAGATGACCGACTGAGCTCAAACTCCAAATCAACTGCACTAAGATGATTTTCTATTGATCCTGAAACTGCTTATATGCAACAATATAACAATAATTCTGATTATATTTTTCACTTATATTTCTTTATTTCGCAACAAAATAAAAAATTTGATCTTGAAGAAAAATAAGAATTTAACTTTTAATTTATATATATTAGGATACTATGCAACTATACGTATCGCTATCAAGTAATATAGGACTTTTTTATTAAGACCTGAATATCGAACCCACATGGAAGATAAAGATATGCAATATGCACTTTTTGGAAAACTTTCTATTTTTAAAAAGACAATTATTTAAACTAAAGATGTTTTCACAGTAAAGAAAGTTTAAATATTTTTGGTAATTTTACTATTTTGACAAAAACAGAACAAACTTAAAAGGATAACTTGAGTTTTTGTAGAAGAAAAACACTAAATATGAAAATATTTTTCTCCTTATCATGAATCAGTAATAAGTATAGTATTCTGTTGTGGACGTATGCATATTGTGGTGTGTCAAATAGGATCAATAATATTTTTTACTCTTACTAGAGATGTTATAAAGAACATTGGCTAATTTAAAGTTTGAATAGTTCTGAAGACCGGCTAGGCAGGGAAGATACTAGCTCTCACTCTAGAGTTCTCTCGATTCCCTCCACCTAAGGGCTAACATCTCGTATCAGAATCTAAAACAATAAATCAAGTTGGGGGCTTTAACCTGTCACTTTAAAGTACTCTAACTCTACACCCTTCAATGAATATTTCCCTATTTATTTACACTTAATCATATAAACCACATTCTCATTCATACAACCTCATGTGATTCTTTCTAATTGTTGACTGAGACAATATCAGTCCGGTTCTTACATGTTCTCACAACAAATTTTAACATCTGGATTGGTCAAATCAAAAAATAAATGAAATACATGAATTTAAATCATCACAACTTCTTCCAATATTAAAGATCAATACTCTCCACAACTTTCATCCAACACTTAATTACTTATCATTTTAAGAAGAAAGATAAAGAAAACTACTCAAAATCCATGGAGAAAATAAAACCACACTTTAGTTTAAAAGTAGAAATCATTGTCAAACCAACAACAAGTCTCAATTAAAACCAAAAGTAGTTTACTTATCTCAAGTCTAACTTATCTCAAGTCTTACACCAAACTCTTGAAGTTCCTTTAAATCTCTTCTCTTTTACAACACTTTCAATATAAAATTAAAATAAAAAATGATAAATATGTGGTACCTGGAAATCTCTCCAACTAACTTCCCAATTTCAGAACTTTCAAAACTATCTCAGTACTTTCTGAACCATTTTCAAAGTCTCAATCTTCCTTCTTTTATAATTCTCCAAAAGGCGTTTTGGTATCTCTTCAAAATGTGTCTTGATTCAATGTCTTTCCTCAAGAGATGCATCCTTTCACAATAATTTTCATCTATGGTGATCGTAACCACTTATTAAGCCAATAGGTGCCTCAAAAACCTCTTCAAAATTCGCAAAAACCGAATTTACTATCCAATAACTGTCACTGGCGCTTAAGCACAAGGCCTCTGACGCTTAGGCGCGACCTTCTCTATTTAACTGACGCTTAAGCGTCGGATCTAGGGCTTAGGCGTCAAAACACTTTTGCACATTTTTCACCTATTTGCTCCAAATTTGATCATTTTTCACTCTTTTAAGCATTTTTCACATTTTTACATTTACCTGAAAGAAAAACACAAATATTTTTCATTAAAGTGCAATATCTCAAAAATAGGTATAAAAATGTGTCTAAAAATACAATATATTTTAAGCGTATCATCTATGCACCCTCTCCGGAAAGTTTGAAACCACATGTGGTTCTTCAAAATGCCCTACTTGGCAACAATCATGACCTCAAATGTTCACCAAACTCCTGCAATAGATGAACTTTTGGACTGAAAGTACATTCATGAGTATGTCCGCTAGATTCTTCTTCGTATTTATCTTCTTCAACAGAACCTTGCATTTTTCAATCAAGTCCCGAACAAAGTGATACATCACATCAATATACTTGGTACGAGCATGATGAACTGGATTTGTAGCCAAGAATATCGCACTTTGACTATCATAGAACATCATCAGAGACTCTTGCTTAGCTTCCAAGTAATCCAATAGGTCCTGCACATATATTTCTTTCTTCATCACCTCCGTGACTGCCATGTACTCGACTTCCATAGTAAACAAAGCAACAGTAAATTGAAGAAACGACCTCCAACTGACTGTACCTCATGCCAATGAGAATTAATAACCCATCATAGATCTTCGTTTATTCATATCATCTGCATAGTCTGAGTCAACGTAGCCTACACAAAAATCTGCATCAGATAATTGTCTCTCAAATATCAAGCCAATATCAATTGTACCCTTTAAATACCTTAGAATACTTTTCAAAGCATGTCAATGAGTCCTTTCTGAATCATGCATAAACCTGCTCACAACAACTGATTGTGTAATATATGGTCTAGTGCAAACCATGACAAACATCACACTGCCAAATTCACTAGCATAAGAAAGTGATTACATATCTTTCCTTTCATGTTCATCTCTATGACGCTGATCTAAACTCAATTGAAAGTGAGATGCAATGTGTAGACTCACCCCCTTGCTCGAGTCATCAGCC